CGCCGCGCCCCCACCTGCCCCGCCCCTGGCAGCCACTAATACACTTTCTGTGTTTTGTTTTTGTTTTTGTTTTTCATACCCTCCCCGACTCCTATTATTTTACTTTCCAAAAAAAAAGAAAGCCCCCTTAGCAGGCGTGGAGTGGACCCCTGCGTGCTGACTTGCATTTCCCCGATTCCTGGCTGACGTGTCCAGCATCTTTTCAGGGGCTTGTTGCCCATCAGTGTATCTTCTTTGGAGAAATGTCTATTCAAAGGCTTCGGTTACTTTCAAACTGGGTTCGTTTTCCTTGAGTTGTAGGAGTTTTAAAAATATATTTTGGATACACGGCCCCTTGTATTAGATATATAATTGGCAAATATTTTCTCCCATTCTGTGGTGTGTTTTTCCACTTTCTTGACAATGTCATTCGACAAATAAAAGTCTGTAATTTTGCCCAGCTGGTGTGGCCCAGGGGCTGAGTGTCCACCTAGGATCCAGGAGATGGAGGTTCGATTCCCAGCCAGGACACAGGCCTGGGCTGCGGGCTCGATCCCCAGCAAGAGGGGTGCAGGAGGCAGCCGATCAATGACTCTCATCATTGATGTTTCTCCCTCTCTCTCTCTCTCCCTTCCTCTCTCTGAAATCAATAAAGACATATATTTATTTTTTAAACTTTGTGATTTTGATGAAGTTTCATTTATCTTTCATTGCTTTGGTAGCTTGTGCTTTTAGTGTCATTTCTAAGAAACCATTGCCTGATCCGTAAATTCGAGTTTGGCGACTTCCTTGTATATTCTGCTCGAGAGCCCCTTCTCGGATTGGTGATTGGCAAATATTTCCTCCCCTGCTAGGCCTGTCTTTGCACTCTCTTAACAGTGTCTTCAAAAGAGCAAAACATGTTTAATGTTGGGGAAGTCCGATGTACTGACTGTGACCCTTGCAAACACACCTGGTGTGGTGGATAGTGTCCCCCAGGAGGACATCTTTACTGTTATTAGAAAAATTCTCCAAAACTGGGAAATAACACAAAAAGAGAATCTTATGTCCTTTCAAAGAATGAAATAAATATCCATGAGTCTTTTGCCACGTAAACCAATCAAAGAGATGAATCAAGATTGACTCCCGGGATTTTGGTGAAGCGACTGGTGGTTTTGCTTTTCTCGCTTTTCAAGCCACCACTAGACGGCTTCCACCCCCAACGATTTGTTCAAACTCCCCTCAACTTGTCACAAAGTTCCCCGTGACCTCATGTCCCCCAGCGCAGGGACTCCCTCCAGCCTTTATCTTAATTGGCCTCGCCGTAGTTTAGATGGGGCCGATCATTTCCTTCTCGAAAATCGCTTTTCATCTTGTTCCATGACATGCGTTCCTACATGTCCCCTCCTCTCGAAAGCACCTTCTCAGTCCTCATGGCTAAGTCATCTTCCTCACCCTGTTCTGCTGATGGAGGTGCGCCCCGGGCTCCACACCTGACTTACACATCTCACACTGGTTCATCTCTTATAGGCCGACAGTTTTTTAAAAGATTTTTAATNCTCACACTGGTTCATCTCTTATAGGCCTACAGTTTTTTAAAAGATTTTTAATTCATTTTTTAGAGAGAGAGAGGAAGGGAGAGGGGGAGAGAGAGAAACATTGATGTGAGTGAAACATCGATCGGCTGCCTCCTGCACGCCGCCGACTGGGGATGGAGCCCACACCCCAAGCATGTGCCCTGACCGGGAATCGAACCCCAATCGCCTGGATCCTAGGTCGAGGCTCAACCGCTGAGCCACGCCCGGCTGGGCCCATTTGTATATTTCTTATTGCTTGATGCTTTCTTGGTTATTAATGTTGGGCCCCTTGCCCTCGAGGATGCCAGCTCCGCGAACTTCTTTGCCACCATCCCCAGGCCCCTAGGAGAGCGCTGGTCAGAGCTGGCACTCAGGTGGCGTGGACAAAGCGCCCCTGAGCCCGGCTCCCGGCTCCAGGCCCGCGGCTGCCAAGTCCAGTGACATTCAGGACCCAGCAGAGGCGAGAGAAAGCCTTTGAGGAACCAAGGTCACAGGGGCTGCCAGGGCTGTCCCCTCGCGGGGGCCTGGGCGAGCCTCAGACATTTACGAAGCCGCCGTATTTTGTCAGCGGGCCCCCTCTCCGCCTACGCGAGGCGGCTGTGACCCTCCCCAGAAATTCCCTGGGGGCGCTGGCCAGCACCCCCTGCATCATCAGCGCCTCAGCGGTCGCGCCCGTCAGCCCCGGGCTTCGGCATCTCTTCTGGCCACATCGACAAGCTCTTTCCAAGAAGAAGCGGCAAAGATGCGTGTGCCTTCCTGTGTGTGCCCGCACTGAGTCAGGCATCTGCCCACCTTGAGGGTAACCTCAGCACTTCCTTCCAGCTCTGCTTTCACTCAGCCTCGGGCGGCAGAATTTTTGAAAGTGTTTTCTGGAGAAAAGCTGAGCGATAATCTTGCCATGGGCGGAACGTTGACTGTCCTCCCTCACGACGGGCCCTTTATATATCACCCGGAGGCCATGGCGAGCACATCTGGCTCAAGGAGCTGTCGCTGAAGCAGCTCTGCTCCCCCTCGCCATGGTCTCCCGCCCAGGTACCGAGCGACGGGCGGGCGGGCCCCGAGGCTCAGGGCAGAAGCTGGGCGGGCAGGGCCCTGCGCCTGGCCCGAGGGCCTCACAGCGGCGTTTTCTCTCCCCAGGACCCACCGGCTGCGCCCTGTTCCTGCTCTGCTGTATGGGGCCCGTGCTGTTCATCCACATGGCTCCCATCAGCGTCCGCGACCTGCGGAGCATCATCATAGAATTGAAAGTCTCCTCTCAGAAACTTCTGGACAGCTACGTAAGTGCCCTACGGATCTCTCTTCCAAGCCATTTCTTTAAAATGCCTTTCGCGGCCCCCAGAAGGAGGGACTCTTTTCAGACCTGAGGCCAGGGCTGTGGATAGGCCGGGAAGGCACAGGGACAGGCTGCCGTGGGGTTTTTAGGCAGGTAGGGGTCAGACGCAGAGATGAGCCCCGACGGCCAGACCCCGACTGTTTCTCACGCCCGTAGGACCTGCTCTCGGGGGCTTGCTCGCCCCTCACGCGTCGGGCTCACGGTGCCGTTACATGAGGCTTCCCGCCTTGCCCACCGACCGGGCCAGGAGCCCGGGGAGGAGCGGGGGAGGCCACCCCGAGCCGTGAGCAACGTGGGCCACCGAGAGTTCTGTCCCCACAGAGAAGGGCAGCGGGCAGATCAGGCGCCCGCTTGTGTCCACTGTTTAATCGGGACCCAGCCCGCTTCTGGCCGAGGCTCTGCTGAGCCAGCCCCTCGGGGAGGAACGTCCCAGGCTGCACACGTGTCAGTTGTGCCTCATTTCCTCGGGGCTGCGATCAAGACGGAAACTCTTAGGCTGTTTTGATTAAACAAACAAAAACCTAAACGTGGAAACAGTGGGTGACATGGGCCTGCCTGTCCCATCCTGGCACCGAGACCTTAGCCCCGGGCTTTATAGACACGGAGGCAGAGGTGACTGGGCAGTTCAGGCCCATGGGGCTCTTAGCTCTTCAAGTTGAGCCCCTTCAGGAAGGGGGACTGGAGAGAGTGGGGCCTGGAGGCTGCGTGCGGCTGGAAAACCTCTCCCTGGCGTCCTGGAGGCCTGTCCGGGGGCCGGAGGCTGTAACAGACGCCAAGAGCCAGCAGCAGCTCGGAAGGCCAGAGGCCTGTCCCTCCCCAGCTCCGCATCCCCGAGCGGCCGAGAGCAGGCTCCAGGCGGGGAGGGGGCCAGGCGGAGCAGCGGTCACCAGCGCCGCCCTCCTGACGGCTGCCTGGCTCTGGTGGGAATCGGGTGGGCCACTTGGCCTTGGGCCAGCCCCGCAAACCAGCCGAGCTTCAGTTTCTCCTGGGGCTGCGACGACCACAGCCTACGGGGGTCGAGACGTCAGGGGTGGCGGCAGGGGGCCCTCGCCCATGCGGGTCCCGGAGGAAACACCTAGAAGTCACCTGTTGGGGTTTCTAGCAAACCTGATGGTCACCATCTCTCCCCCCTGTTCCCCCCCCAAAGAAAGAGCAAGGCCTGCCGCCCACCGGGTTCCAGCTGCCGTCCTTCACCGCCGCCTGCCAGCACCTCCGCCTGCACCACAACGGCTCCGCGGTCCTGCCCTACGTCAGGGCCGCCCGGCCGCTCCTCCAGGACAAGCCCGAGTTTCACTACATCGTCCAGCAGCTCAGCAAACTCAGCCTTCCGCGGGCGCCTGAAGCCAGCGTGGCCGTGCCCACCGACAGCTTTGACTATAAAAGGTTCGTCCTGGCTGTCTTAAACGAGTTTTCCGATTGCATGAAACGGCTGTAGCCGCTGAGCCTGTTCCTCTAGAAAGGGCTAAACACGCGTGAAGCCTGCAGACAAAGACGCGTGGCTGCTGGGCACCGGCTGCGGGTCAGTCAATTGCTCCAGGGGGAGAGCTCAGTGGGCCCCGGTGGAGACTGAGCGTGAACTTGCAGCAGGTCCCCAAGTGCAATCAGCCTTGGTATTTACAGAATGTTTCCCTTCCTCGAACTTAAATTTTATTTATTGTTGTCTTTGAACTTAAATTTTATTTATGGTTGTTCTTACTCCCTTGTGAGGGCAGAAAGTGGCAACTATGTTAACTTATTGATATTTATTGTATTGAGAGTTGTTAATGCTCCTTGGAGGAGCCCTGGAACCTATTTAATAAATTATTTTGAATTTTTCTCATAATCTGTTTTGGATCTTGTGTGTGTG